TCTCCCTCTCTCTACTCCCTCTCCCTCTCTCTACTCCCTCTCCCTCTCTCTACTCCCTCTCCCTCTCTCATACTCCCTCTCCCTCTCTCTTCCCACCTCTCCCTCTCTCTCTCTCTCATCCCCCTCTCCCTCTCTCTCCCCCCCTCTCCCTCTCTCCCCCCCTCTCCCTCTCTCCCCCCCCTCTCCCTCTCTCCACCCCTCTCCCTCTCTTCCCCCTCTCCCTCCCTTACTCTCCTTTCTCCCTCCCTCCATCCCTCCTTCTCCTTCTCTTCCCTCCTCCTTGGCTCTCCCCCCCTCCCTCCCTCCCTTCCTTGCTGTCTCTCCTTCCCTCCCTCCTCCCTCCCTTGTTCACCTTCCTTCCCTCCTTCCCTTGCTTCCTCCCTCCCTTCCTACCTTGCTCTCCCTCCCTTGCTCTTCCTCTCTTCCTCCCTCACTCTCCCTCAATTCCTCCCTCTCTTCCTTCCTCATTCTCTCCCTCTTTCTCCCTCACTCTCTCTCTCTCTCCTTCTCTCCCTCTCTCTCTGTTATTTTATGAACATCATTGAGTTTCATTACATTCTTTATACAAGATAAAACCTTATGAGAGTAAAGGCAATAGATATCTGACTTATATCAACTTTATTGAAACAAAGTTAAGAGTCGTTATATATCAGGCAGGCACAGTAAAACCGTGGCAGTAATTCCATTGCTGCTGGTTTGGCTGTCAACGATTGGGCAGCCTTGCTGGGATGGACACTACGGCTACAGAACTGAATGTAATGAGAGCATATTCAAGATCAATGATGCATCTCAAGCGGCTATATCGACTAACATGAGAAACGCACTTATTGACAGGTATGTTTCTTTACTCTTGGTTGTCTAATAAATTTAAATCCATATATGTATCATGTTCAATATTTTTTCTTTTTTTTCTTTTGTGTAATGGTCAGTATGCTTGAGATTTTAGTTTTGTAGTGTCTTAGAGTATTGAGTTACAATAGAGGGAATGTCATCTCTAATGTCAAAGTTGCTCCCAAATATAATATGATTATGTCCCAATACCTGATCATAAGTTAAGATTATCAGTTAAGAATGCTTAATACACTTAGCCTAACTTGAATGTGCTTTGAACACTTAGATTAGCCAGCAAATTGGCAAAAATCATCAAAGACATAAGTATTTGGTGACACAAAGAAGTCAATGTTAGTGTCACTAATTTCACCTGTTTCTGCTTTCCTTTGATTTTCAGAAAGATTTAAAAAGAAGAGCTAATGATATTATTTATGATATGATAGTCGTAATATCAATAATAATGATAATGGTATCACTTTAACAGAATGGGGGGGGAAATTCCAAAATTAAGTGGGGTCGTAGAGGACTTTCTAATGATTTTCTTGGGGACTTGGTACGTGTAGAAACATCCATGTGAAAATAAAATTCACAAAACAAGACTATAGTGATTAGTACATTTATCTGACACCAATGGATTAATGTTAACTATACTTAATAAAATAATTTTGGTTTAATGTTTTTGGTAAAGACAAGGCATGGATAAGTTGAGAAAATAATTGGCTAATTTGTCCTTTTTTGTCTTTCATTTCAGTATGACCTAAAGTAAGGGAAATCAGCCTTCAGTAACAAAATGTTGACAGAGCATTTTGTTGATAAAAGATGATGGTATATGACATATGTTGTTTGTAATCTAATAGCAGTGTGAAGCTTTATATTAAGTAAAAGGAAAAAGATGAAGTTACAACAATGTTATTAAGGGTTTGAGGTGCATGTGCGCAAATGATTTGTATAGAATCACCTTTCATCAGTAATGCCAGCAGGAACAGGATGCATTATTATATGAATTTTGGCCTCGTATATAAAGATTATAGATGTATAGAGAGAATGAATGTATCACTGTATTGGATTCTTATGAACACATAGTAATCTATCATTAACCTGAAATATTTACTGTATACCCATTAGGCATATTGCCTTAAAGTAATATGTTTCATTTGCTATGTAATTATGGCATTAAATATACCATTTCTGTAGAGATTTTATTTTTTCTTTATCTTTTTTCTGTAGTTCAAGTTGTGGTGGTACAAAAAGACACTAAAATTGATTATAATAATTTTATTTTGATGAATGTGTTTTATTTGTATAATTTGTGTGAAACAGTCTATATGACTGGAATTAATTAAATGAGAAAGTACTTTATTATATTTTTACTAGAAGTGACTAATGTTAAAACAAAGATTTTATATATCCAGATGCAAAGATTTGAAAAACATGACTGATTTTTATCTGTGTAATCACATCAGATTCTATGATGCTGCATAATTCTAGCTTCAGTTCTGTTGAAGTTGAAATATATTGACTTTCAGACATGTTAAAGAGCCAGAGATAAAGGCGCAGAATTGAAATCACAAAGTATTTGTAACATACAAAGATAAAAAAATTATACAAAATTAAAGGAGATTACTTGTATAGCAAGCTGAAAAGTTTATTGTTAAAGTACATATATGAAATTAATATTAATAAAACAAAAAAAACTACATGTGTAATATTAATCATACCACAATACAGTATGGCATTAATAATCATAGTACTAATAAAACCTTAATATAACAGGGTATAATAGCAATTTGACCTCAGTTTCCAAATTTCAAAATGTAATTTTACATACATTTTCAGGTGCAATATATATATTATATATATTATATATATATATATTATAATATATTTATATATTTATATTATATATATATATATATATTATAATATTATATATATATAATATATATATATATATTATATATATATATAATATTATATATATATTATATATTATAATATATTACTATTTATTTAATAGAAAAAAAAAACTTCGCTTATTACAAAAAAATAAGTACAGGCAAAGTTTGTGCACAAAAATCTATTTTTCAATAATTCAGAGAATAAAATGCTTCTTATTGATATGTTAATTAAAATACTGATTATTTGTTGTTGAACTTCTTGTGAGTGAAAGTTTGGAGTGAAGTATTTCATTAACTTTTTACTTGTTTGGCAAAAATGTGAACTGCTTATTTCTCTACTGAAAATCATTTTTGACAGATTGAGATGAAAGTTGGTGTGGGTGTTTTTTTTACACAAGTCTGTCCAAATACCTCTTCTCAATTTTGACCTTTTTTCACTGACCATATTTGAAGAATTCAGAAAAATGTTAATTGTTGATACCTTTTGACTGTGCAGAGATAAATATTACACAAAAATCGTGGACAGTATATCAGGCAGTCTCTCAAGAAAATTAGAGAACGAACTGAAGTCTCATCTCAATCAGCCAAAAACTATGGTCTGGCCTTCTGTCAAAAGAAAAAGCATGAGCTGAGAAGTAGTCTTTGTCCTATTATCTATATTAAAACCACTGAATTTCTTAATATGAATATAGGTAAACTGTAAAAATCATGCCAGATGTAAATAATACCTGGGCCTTGTGATGCATAATGCAACAAAGAAAAGGCAGTGCACATGTAACATATCGTCCATTATCGGCAAGAACGAAGGCAATCCAGCTCTCAGCTTACACTTAATGTATAAAAGTATATAAAATTATATACAATATCTTTGTTAGCCCTACAGCAATATTATTTTTTCTTAAAAGAGAGTTGATGAAATCATTAGCATTTAGCATAGGTAAGCTGTGTCAATTAACCTAAAATCCATTGTCTGCTCTTTTTATATTTTTTCAATCAAAGGGAACAACAACTTTTTCTTCGAGTGCATCCATGAGTTTGTATCTTTTGCATAAACAAGGCAGTTAGAGGAGAGATTACATGAGATGCAGAGCATATTCCTTTGTTTAACAAATGCAATGAAAATCTTTGTAAAAAGAGTAAGAAGAAAATTGTTAGTTTAGGAGAGGCCAAGCACTGTGAATGGGAGTGTATGCATCCCCTTCTGCCTACATCCTAAAGTGAAAGAGCTGTGCTGAAAGGAGGAAAAAACAGGTTTTGTCAGTCCTGATCAACCTTCATTAACTCCGTTTGCTATATCCTTTTACCATTTTTACTTCCATACTAACCAACACTGCTCTACACCCTCTGACTTCTAACATATTTTGTTCTTATTGTTAACTCATTTTTATATTTTTTGTCAATACCTCATCATAATGCTCTATGACCTTTCATTTCCCAAACCTCTCCTATTATCATATTTTGTATACACTGCTAATGACTTTACATGTTGACATGGCAGAAAATTTTCAATAAATGAATAGGGATGTGTGCATATTCTCTAGTATATGTGTTTGTGTTTGTTGACTAGGTATGTATGTGTATTCTAGCATGCATATACAAAAGAGAAGTATGTGCTGAAAGGTTATTTTGTTGGAGTAAAACCCTTTGAAATTCATGGGAGGTTCGGCAAGCTTTAGGTATTATTTTCATATCAAAAGCAATAACAGATGTAGATCATCTCAGTCCAAAAATAACCAGTGCCATATGCATTTTTTTTGAATTTGTAAGAGAGAATATAAATATATCTTGACTTTAAAAATCAATAGAAATTACAAATATTATGTGGTGTGTGTGTGTGTGTATGTGTGTGTGTGTGTGGTGTTGTGTGTGTGTGTGCGTGTGTGTGTTGTGCGTGTGCGTGTGCGTGTGCATGTGTATGTGTGTGTGTGTGGTTGTGTGTTGTGTGTGTGTGTGTGTGTGTAAATTCACAATAAAACTTAAAACATACATGTCCAAAATTGTCCGAAAGTTTATGAGAAAATTATTGCCCATATTTCTTTTGCAGGTGACATTTACATCAGTTGGTGTGGAAATATTCCTGTGAGTCCATTACCAGTCCTTGACCTCTGCTTTACTCAAACAAATTAAACAAAGGGTTTTGAAAGGTAGTTCTGGCCTCCTGAAAATCGGATTCTCATTCTGTTAAGGATAGAAATGTTTTCATTAATATATTAAAAACAACTTTAAAGCTTTTGCAGTTAACAAGGTGTATATCATTTGCATAGATCATTCCTTTAATTACTCATCTTGCCTGTAGTTCCTCTACAATTAATACTGCAATGCAATGTTTAAACTGTCTTTCGACGATGTATTGATGGTAAACATTTTCTTTTCATATATTTTTTGTTTGAGATTGTGTACAATGACTGCTAGATCTGAATTAGTTGAACTTAAGTGCTGAACAAACTCTTTCGTAACCATTTTGCTGTGGTAGTAAGCTTTATTAGGAAGATCGCCATGGAATTTCTAGACTGATAATTTCCACTATTAGTAATGAATGAAAAAGTCCACAAGCATTGAAGTTCTTTTAATGCTTGTGAATCCTTTGCTGAAATACTGAATTGTGAGCTAACAGTTTCAAACAATCATCTTAGAGCAATCTATGCCAAAACATGATGATGATGAACACGATCACTCAAATCCCAGTTCTGCTATACTAAAAATATTTCTTCAACTACTAAAAATAACAAATAATTATACTCATACTATAGCAACATGCAACATAAACATCATCAAATCATATCGACTCACAGTACTCCACTTCGCTTGGTCCTTACTACGCAGGAACCGGGCATACTCGCGGCGGTCGTGGAGAACCGCGCAGACCTTCCAGAGACAAGAGCCAATACGCCGACGGTCAACACAGCTCCGATGACTCCGATGATCACGCCTGTCTCGACATAGCGAAGGCGGCGTCGTGGATACGTTTCATTAGCATGTGTAAAAAAGAAGAAGACGAATACGAAGAAGAAGAAAGAGAGAGAGAAAAAAAAACGTCAGACCTCTTGATAAAAAATCGGAGTGATATTTTACCCAAGTTTGAATATACTTTGGGTGTTGGATACATGAGTAGATGAATGGCATAAGACTACCGTGGAAGGCAACAGACATACTCAAAACCGTTTGTCTGAAAGGGAGGAAAAGAGTGTCGAATTTAATCCGGATTTTATCTTCAGGAATGGCAAGCCTGGGAGGAAGGCATGCTGAATGGATAAGGAGAAGCAACACGACGTGTTGTATATCTTCAGACGTAGCCTCGAGACCCAAATCATTCCACACAGGAAAGATATTTCCGTCTTTCCCTCTGACAAGAGTAACTCGTTTTTGGTCCTCTACCGTACGTTATACCTACCGAAAGCCGGGACCTGTTTCCCTGTCTACAACTCACGAGGATGTATTGCGACAACCTTCCATTGTCGCCTCAAGGAATTATCGTCAGGTTGTCCTCGGGTACGTCCACCGGAGGATTAGAGTCATCAAGCCTCGTCTTCCTCTTTCCTAAAGGCCGCCCAAATCCCATAAACCAGACGCACCTCTACCCCCATCATCTCTCGGGGCTCGGTGACGCATCTTCTTACTTCAGGAGTCTTTTTGGCTCCCTCTTTACCGCTCCATGTTCGCAGGTCCTCCTCCGCAGCCATGGTAAGCTTGGATGCTGAATCCCTCTTCGCCAATGTCATATAGGATGACGTCCTCGCAATCCCTCTTTCTGTGGATCCTTGTCCATCCCTTCCCACCTAGATCTTTCCTAGACCTTTTTCTTCTGTCTTAGCAACCCTGCATAGAGAGTACCTCCAGTTTGTGTTTTTTCCTTCCATCTCCTCTCGCCCTTCACTTTGGCTGAGGTACATCAGTGACATCTTTGCCCTTTAGCCCATGATGCCCCCCTCTTCCCGGTTTTCTTGAGGAAACCGAACTTACTCTCCTCCTCCATCCGTTTCAAGGTTGAATCGGGGGTCCGCAGTCGAGTCTTCAAGCAGGTTGAATTATCCACACCATATTCTCGATGCTGCACTTTGATTATTCCAACATGACTCTCCCAACCTGACAGACTCATCAACTGTCTGCCCTACACTGAAGAAATAAGCGCTCTCCATCACGTCGCCGCCTCCACCTTCTAAACTGCTGATTCCTCTTTCGTCAGGTGAACGCTTTATGTTATAACCGAACCTACACCAGTCCTTCCTCCACACTGGACACCTACACCTTCTATGTTTCACTTGTGATAGACAGTGGTTCTAACCTGTAGATCACAATGGATTAATAGGAGGTCGTGAAGCTTTGAGGAAAAGCAATAGGCCTTTTTTCCGGTGCCAAGAAACTGTCTAACTACACTAGAGGGTGTCTTTTTTTTCATTTGCGACACTCTCGGGCCGATCGCGACAGCACGTGCCGATGCTTCTACGCTGTGCCACAGGTGCGGCTCCACCCCCATTCCTAGGAATTGTACTCGAGTTGACGAATCTGATTTTGTTTTTGAATTGTATCAATTAACAAATCACTGGTTTACTGATGTAACATTAGGAAATAACAATAAATACAAGTTGTTAGTTATCAACATCTTCAAATTACAAATCAAACGACGGAAAACTATCGAAATCAGTTGAAAAGCGCGGGCCCTAATCCCCATACTTCTTCATTCGTCCATCGACAATGGTTTCGAAGGTCACACTTCTTTAAATATTTTGAAAATGACACTATTTATTGATTGATATCAACTACATTCAAAAGGATATATAAGTTTACGTCAGCATATTCAATTATATATACATAGTAAGTAAAATGAGTATGTAAAACCTAATATAAATTTTCATAATATTCTTTTGACCATTCGAACACATTCTGTAAATAAAACAGAGATACTTCCCCGTATATTATTCGTCATGGAACACTTTTGGAGGCCTGAATATTGCCCAAGATTAAAGCATAAATGATATAAGAAAAATAGTAACAAGCCTTACATGACATATCGCATAAAAAAATACACATACGAAAGATAAACCTGAACCTCGCTCTTCTAGCCGTAGCCCTATTAATACGAAAGCATATAAACCTTAAACTCTATATTATTAATATCGTAGTAATGTATATTTTTTATATTATATTTCTGCATATATGTATATATTTACATATACATACATAAATGCATATATATGTATATATATATATATATATATCATATAATATATATATAATATATATATATATATATATATATATATATATATATATATATATATATTTCATAAAAAAAAAAAAAAAAAAATATATATATATATATATATATATATTATATATATATATATATATATATATATATATATATATGCATGTGTGTATACATATGTTTAAATATATGTGTGTGTATACTGTATATATAGGTATGTATGTATATATACATTTCTGTTTGTATATATATAATATATATGCATATATGCACATATACACACGCGCGCGCGTACTTTCAAACTAGTACGTAGTGCAATAATATCCTCATTAACATCATCAAAGTTACTAATATTGCACCATACAGTGCAGCATCAACTTTGAACTTCCCATTTTCTTCCAGTTTTAAAACGAGCAGAGGTGCTCCGCGCGCTCATCAGCCAAGTGCAGTTGCTTATATATGACTCCGCCCCATAAATAGGGGCGGAGTCATGGGAATCTGTAGTACTACACCTCTTGGCGCCGGAAAAAAGGCCTAATGTTAGTCCCTTTGCTAGACCTTCATCAGTATTCAAATTAAGAATATATTATGAAGCCATGTCAAGGAAAACTATTACAATTGGGCTGATGTCGGAGGGTGGCGGATGTGTCTTAGGTTTGGGAAAAGGGCCGCATGTGTAAAAAGGTTGGAATCTACGGAGATAGACAGTATACTAGTGAGAATAGTGCCCGTCACTGCAAACATGTATCTTCACACTAATACTTCATATCCAGGGGACACTCCCGCTGCCTCTTCTTCCATCAGCAGAAGTGGGGTGTAAATCGATTAAACTGAGGCCTCTGCATCTCACATTGTCTTCCCTCCAGTAGATTGGTGGACTCTTCTGTTGCCAATAAGTTGTTCGTTTTCAACCTGAACTGTGTATTTTCTCTTGTAGAAAGTCTCCTTACTCACCGCATTCTCAGGGTGTTGCCATAAACCGGCCACTTTGCCATAGGCCCACTTACACTTTGACCTAGCTTCTCCTGCTTCTGCATGCTTGTCCTTACCCGTCGAATGTGCTATGATGCTTCTCTCCAAATTGTCCTTGTTACAGCAATGGGTGTGAATGCGATGGTATAGCAAAAGCATCGGATTTGTTAGTTTCTTTAATAATCATAACAACATTTGCATTTCGGTTAGAAATTGCAAATCGACATGGAATGTTATGATTTCATATGTATTTTTATAATAGGATAGAAAGGTAATAACTATTCACTAGTCTGGGCTCTAGCATCGCATTCGCATCATTTGCCGTAATAGTGAGAACATTGCTTCTCCCTTTCCTTCTTGTGTACCTTCCTCTCTTTCGTCCGTCTTCTCATCTTTCAAGCAACCAATTTCGTATTTTGTATTTTTTTTCTTCTATTTAACATTTTGAAATTAATTGTGTGGCTGTTGTGGATCTTCAGTGAAAAGATAGGTAAAATATTTGTTGCTTATGATACTTATTTTGATATTCAGCTTTGTTTTCTCAAACAGACGATATCTTTAAAAACAGTTTTACACATTAATTAATATATATATATTTTTTGCAATTTCAAGAATGTTACATGTGCATTACAATGTTATATTTCTACTTTCGGAAATTTACCTCCAGCATTGTCTTATAAAAAAAATAAAACAAAACAGATATTATGATTATTGTGACTAGCACCTTCATCTCATCTATTTGGCATTGCCTTTTATGAAGCAAAAGCCGTAGCCTACCTGCTTTGCGACTTTGTAGTCTGCGGTTCCAGTTGGGAAATAAGAATCTAAAATTAATTGATGGTTGAGAACTAGACTTTAAATGCTAACTTGTTGTGAAACCTGGGGCTAACGCAGTATTTTCTTAAAAGACTTTCAATTTATACGGTCCATGAAATTTCAATATAAAAAATAATAAATAAAACAAACGAATTCAGTACACCCATCACATGCACAAACTCACGCAATCACGCTTAAACGTAAACTTAGAACTCACCTGTTGTGTTGACTGGTTCCGGGCAGTCCAAGTCCTGCTTCGCCCACAGCAAGACGTTGC